CTCGGCATCATTCCATCGGGCTGAATGCCATGCTCGAGGCAATAAAGCTCCCAGCACGAATTTCCGACCTGAATCCCAGCCTGACCAATGTGTAAGCTTATAATTTCTCTCATTTTTCTTACCCAACAGATTTGTTCGCTCCTCCCTCTCTGCACGAGAAGCCACAAACCCTTTGATTTCTCTCTCAAAAGGTGCTGCAGCCCCTCTCACCTCTTTCCTGTGATCGCGAGAAGAAAACGATGGAGGATTTTTTTACGATTTTTGTCACGCACTCCCCTTCTTTTTCTCTCGGATTTCAGCAATATCAATGGCTGAACGAATGAGAAAAAAAAAATGGAATTTGATAAATGGGTTTGGAGTCCGGAGGCCCGCCACCTGGCGTCACCTTCTATTGCGGGCACCACTGCGGCCCACCCCGGCGTCAACGATATTTTATCCCTTTTTTTGTGGTTTGGGCTTTTGCAACGTACAGCTGGTTTTATTGCGAAAATCTAACGAGTGCCCTTACTCGTGGAGTCATTTATTTGGATTTTTTGCAAGTGGAAAATAATTAAATGTCATATCGATTGATTATATTATGATGTTATGATATATTTTGTTTTCGACATACTTTCTATATGTTACATGGATTTGTATGGTGATGATGAGAGACCTAGTGAATTTGAATTTTGGTAGTGTAAAACGAACTCGACCAGGTTCGACGTCCTTTGGTCCGTCTTTGAACCCGTGAAGTGATCTGCAAAATAGCATTGGAGGTTGTTCATGGTGCGCAATTTGTCTCAAACTGGATTGAATCACGATCTCACGAACGCCCACTGACTCCAATCTTCGATAACTTGCATGTGTGAGTAGTAAAAGGTTCATTCTTAGGAACTTAAGATTGTAATAAGAGGCTTGGATGAATCACTAGTGTTCATACAAGAACTCTTGTAAAATGTTCGAGTTTCAATAAAAATATCCAGTTTGTTTGAACTCGTGTTAAAGATCATATTCTGGAGGCCGACTTGCTAATCAAAGGGAAGAAGTACCAGTACCTGTGGCACAGGCTTGGAGTCGATCATTCAGACACAGAGATTTAAAAAACAAACACAGAGGTATGACATTTATCCAAACTATAAAACATTTTACAAGAAGTTCCTTTGAATGTTGTAATTACATTCTAGATAGCTCTCTGAGAAGCAGTTTAAAGTTTCTAAAAAAGGACTTTTAATTTGCCAAGAAATAAATTTTAAAATTACTGAAAAAGGTTTTCAAAACCAAAAGCTGAACAAATCTTAACTGATAAAAGGAGAAATCTTCAATAAAAATAATTTCTTCAAAGGAGAAATTATGACTTTTGGCATTTGCCAATAAGTATGACTTATAGAGAAAGAAACGCTTTGAAATATCAGCGTAAACAATTAAGAGATCTTCATACCTTGTTAGAAGTTTATTAACTAGAATATGAAGTCTTAGAACTTGAGTAAAAACTTGAGTATCAAAGGGCATCACCTAAAAATAAAATGAACACCATAAGATTTTATGGTTTCAGACTAAATGGTGAGATGGCCATAGTTGTTTCTACTCAGAAGTCAATTAAGAAAACAGTAGTTCATAGATTTTGTTTGAGTATTAAAACTTTAGCTTATTATAGAAAACGATGATTTTTGGCAGCTGCCGGTAAGAGTAGTGTTTTCAGATATAAACTGTCTCAAAACACTAAGAAAGCAAATACTTTGATTAACAACTAGTTTCAGAGAAGAAGAACAAAACTTGAATAATTATATGCAAGTTTATAGTTCTGCATCTGTAGAAATAAAACTGATAACTATGAGAACCAATATTGATAATGTCAATACAATGGTTTCTTTCATTGTTGCATTAAAGAAGTCTATAAAGAAAGCATAACAGCAAAGCTAAGTTCTTAAAATGAGCTACTTAGATAACTTGTATAAATTCTGCACGGGAATCAACCCGTATAAAAATCATGGTATCAAAGCCATGGATAAAAGAAAAATCCTATCGGATAATAGATCTTTTGATCAATATTTTCTGAGTTTTTTCCAATACGGAACTAAAATTCAGAATGGGGAATACCAGTATTCGTGATCCCATCTTAAGGTGGAGACAGCTAGAAAACCTGTTTGGAATATGAATTCAAATACGGATAATGAAAACAAAAATATAGAACAAGATCTATGTTCTAATAGTGATCTTTCACAAATTTCATTTAATGAAAATGAAAAAGGATTTAAAGCCAGTTTAGCAATAAAACATGATGTCTTAACTAAGATTCAAAAATCAAAGTTAAATCTAAAAAAAGAAGAAGTTTTTAACAATGTTAAATTTCTTAAAAAGAAAAAATGAAATTTTCTATTTTATCAACACGCAAGAATTGCATGTAGACATAAGAGATGTTAAAGGAACCGTATACCTGCCTTTAATTACTAAAGCGGAAATACGAAAAAATTTGGATAAAATTCCATCTCTTATAAGAAATAAAATTTCAACAATTCATCTAGGAGCAATAAAAATTTTGCTTAGAGTTGAATTTCAAGAAGGGATTGATACTCCTATAAAAATGCATTAATTGATGATAGAATTAATGACAAAAAGGATTGTATCTTAGGAGCAGCAAGAGGAAATCTTGCTTATGGTAAGTTTATCTTCACAGTTTATCCTAAATTTGGCATGTCTATTCAAACTGCAAATTAGGTAGAACTTTATCTTTCATTCACCACTTTGAAAGAGAAAATTTAATGAACCATGGAGATAAAGTCTGTAGTGTTACATATGTTATAAGCTATGCTTTGACTAATAATCACCGTAGGATAGATTATAGCTATATCAATAAGCTATGCTGTGAATCCACGGAGGACTAAAAAGAAAATAAATTAAGGGTCAAACAAATCACTTTGTTAACAAGCTTTGTCAACCAACTTGTAAACATAGCATAATCCAATCCAATTTATAAACAAAACCCAACCGACAAGAGATCCCGAGTCCTCAGTTGGATTGAACGACATGATTTTGAAAACAACAATATAATATTAGTATTTGATTAAACAAGCAATTCTAATTGAACAAAACGGGGGATAAATGCAAAAATCCCAACGGTCAAATAGTTGAATCGAGAGATGGGGAAAAGTGAAGGGCGAAAAGAGAGCCAACCAACCCTAATTTCAGATGATGAGAGTGGTGAGGAAGGAGAAGCAAAAGGGCCTCCATTCTTCTCCTGTTACCTGCTTACCTCACTCTCTCCCCGATTCAAAGGCCACACTTACATCGGGTCTCAATTTCATTCGCTCTTCAAAATAGTATCCTTAATTATTTCAGTTTCTTGATCGCATTCAATGATCCAAACATATGAAATGGTGATTTTTCTTATGCTCGCAGGTTTACTGTGAATCCACGGAGGAGAATAAGGCAGCACAACGGCGAAATCGTAAGCGGCGCATGGCGGACCAAGAAGAAGCGCCCTTGGGAAATGGTGCTCTGCATCTATGGCTTCCCAACTAATGTTGCAGCCCTTCAGGTTCTTTTTTTCTTAATCTCCTCTTGTTAATTATTATTTCAGCTGCTTTATGTTTGCTGAAAATATTGTTGTCTGTAATACTGGCATTTTCCATTATAAACGACCTTGATGATTTAGGAAGAAGCTTCGTGTGGATATGTGTATGTGGTGAAATCCACGCCGAAGCAAAGGATTACAAACTATTATCTGCGTATTTCATGTTGAATCTTGAGCATCATTTATTAGTCACCGATTCATGGTAATCTCTTGCCACAGAGAGACTAAGCATTTAAGATCTGCTCCCAATATTTTTTCCCTGAGAAAGATGTAATCTTGCGGTGTGATATAATTTTTAGAGCTACTTTCAACTTTTCTAATCATAATTCGACACAGCTTTCAGTTTCTCTATGGTAAAAGACGATGTGTTTAGTAACCATTTATGAAATTTGAAATTTTTGTTGTCATTGGCAGTTTGAATGGGCCTGGCAACACCCATCAGAATCTCTTGCAGTCAGGCAAGCAGCAGCTAGTTTCAAATCCCTTACTGGACTCGCCAACAAGATTAAATTGGCATATACAATGCTTACTCTTCCTCCCTGGCAGAGGTGTTTACGAAATGAAATTTATTAGTATTTTTTTTTTCTACGGGTTTTTGTTTTCATTCCTTTTCTGCAGAGAACTTATGTTTTTTGTGCTTTTGGGTCTAGTTTGAATCTGACGGTGAATCTATTCTCAACAAAATATCAAATTCACACATCGGGCTGCCCGGCCTTGCCCGATGAGATGCGGGCCCGAGTTAGTTCCATGGATGAGCTTCCCTGTTACAACTTAATATTTGGGGAATGGGATAATGACCATCACAACTGTGAATGGAGCTGTGAGAAAAATGTATCCCAAAAAACCAATTATAATAGAGAGCATTGTGGTGGAGAAAATCAAGGGCCGGCCTTTATTTGTGAAACTGCTGTGAAACCGCTGGTTGGCTCACCGAGGAAAAAACGGTCAGCAGCTAGCCAGGATGATAAAGAAGAAAAACGGGCTTCGAATGGTCAAGTGGATATCATAGATGTTTTTACACCTTCTCCTTGCCGTGAGGTTGACTCAGGTAGCAAGAAGAGAAGGCGGCGTATGAATGTTGGTTCCGAGATAATTGACCTGACCACTTCTCCTTTGTTTGTGGGATAATAGTATATTGATATGTACTGCAAACACTTGTAAACAAGAATAATCAGGAATTAGAGGGATCACATGAGTTTAGTGAATCTGAATTCTGATGTACTGTGTGATATGCGAGCTGTTTCCAATTCATAGTTGGCTTTCTTTTACTACGCTATGTCACCGTTGTTTTATGGGCGGATAAATAATTCACTGTTTGTTTGTTTGTTTTTTTTTTTTTTTTTTTTTTTTTTTTTGGATCGGTAAAATTAAATTTATAGATCAAAACTGATGTTACATCGACCGTCACACGGCATACAAAAGCAAAGTGGGCGGTCACAATCTCGGCTCCACACTTGCTAATCAAAATAATGAGAGGCAAATCACAGGTCGGTTGCTCAGCTCAAACCAAAATGAAACCCTAAATCAAAATGAAAGCATAATCAAAATGATTATAGATCTAATCATACGTACCTTAAGGAGGCTTCGCCTAGCCATTTCCGAGGGCTTTTCTCTCTATTTCGACAAGGACATTCGAGTACAAAGCAAATATAGTCGTACATGGGTGTTCGCAAAATATTTTCACTACCCGCAAGTGTACGGTATAGCTATAGTGAGTGGCGAGCAAGGTCGTTTTCCACAGAGATTGTTGTCAAAATTAACTAAGTATCAAAATGTAAACGATTAAATATTATTTAGTCTGATGCAAATTTGAATGATGATTTTTTTCTAAACTAATGAATGATTGCAAAATAAATTCTAACACTAATGAAGGCTTGTTCGAAAATAAATCAAGAATGAGAAAATAGATTCTAGGCTATGCTTTCCTCGGGATCATTCTAACAAAGATTTCCTATTCATTCAAACCTTATTTAATTCTACCATTTGTAGGGATAATCACTGAAGTAATTTACATCTTTCTCTCGAACAAGTTAAATCGTAGATATTAATTGTTATCTATCTCCTCTCGGTCTCAAGATGAACAATCAACTCCCATAAGCTCCTAAGATTCTAGTTCCCTCGCAAGATTCTATCAACCTCTCGGTCTGTTTAGTCTCTTACGTTATGAATTTCCCAATTCTAGCAATCAACTATCTCCTCTCGGTCTCAAGTCAATCACAAATATGCATAAATACGGGCCCTTATATTCACACAATTAATAAAAGCACAAGAAATTGATAAACGAATGATAAACCGGAATGAATAAAGAAAATCACTTCATAAAATAATCCGAGTACTCGCAAATCCTAGAATCCCTAAAAGGTTTAGCTACTAAACATATTCTCAAAACTCAAAATAAATATATTCATGAGTTCAATGAAGAAGAAAAAGAGAAAAGAAAGAAGAACTATTGTCGCCGTTAGTTCCCGAATCTTCAATCTTGACTTCCTCGAATCCCTTGTGTGTTTCGTGCTTTCTCTAGGCCTCCAATGGTGTCAAAAGTCCTAAAAACGAGTTCCTAAGGCCTCTTTTATACTGTAGGGCACTTCTGGGCCGAAAAAGGGAAGAAATCGTACAAGAATCCTATTCCCCGCAGGTCTGGTCTGCGCGTCACACGAGTCGAGTCACATGCCACACGAGTCGTGTGACTTTTCTCAACATTTCGGCGAACTTCCAGACTCGCACGACTGGTCACACGACCGGGTCACACGAGTCGTGTGAGACCACACGACCCGTGTCACTACCCACACGACTCGTGTGAAAAAGCCGTAGCTGTGTCTCTAATTTCCTCAACCCACACGACCCGTGTCACTATCCACACGAGTCGTGTGGCCTCTTCTGCACCCGTTTTCGCCGTTTTTCGTCTCGATTCCATTTCCAACGCATTTCCGGGCATATTTCCTGCAAAAACAACGACAAAAACACCTCTATTATAGTTTAATAAATAAAACGAAATGGTGCACAATCACACGATAACCAGGGCCAAATATCACAATATATCACTCATAATGCATGAAAATATGATGAATATCAATGGGTTTGAATCTTCCGAATAATGAGCTCTGGAGTTTGCACTTCGTTTTCGAATATCTTCCTATTCCGAGCATTCCAAAGAAAGTACACCATTGACGCGAGCCCGGCCTTCCTTGCTTTTATTTTCCAACCGGAGCCTTGAGATTCCTTCTTAATCCACTTCAATGCACTCTTTAGTGTGGAGAGTTGTCGCCTCAATCCTAGCCAATGCCGGATGCAAGTCAAACTTGAGGCGAAAAGGGGCAAGTGAAAAAGAGATGATCCTTGGTCTCGGAAGCTTCCCCACAAAAGGCACAAGTAAGGTCGATATCAAGGAAGCCAAGCCTATCCTTGGTTCGGAGCCTCTCGAGCATTGCAAGCCAAAGGATGAAGGCATGTTTGGGGGTATTGGCGGGCCCCCAAACCACTCCCTTCCAAGGGACGGGTGTACCTTGGGACCGGAAGAACTCGTAAACGCATGAGGGCCCATTGGAGTGGGATTTGGAGTCCCAAAGATTTAGAGCGGCCTCGGGGGCTTGCATACTACCCAACTTTTCAACCATTAGATTCCGAATATCATAGAGGTTTTCGAAAAGAGGCGAAGCACTCTTGTAGATAGTCCATTCCCAAACGGAATTTTGCCTTAGATAGACATGATGAACCCAACGGTACCACAACAAGTCTTTCTTGGCATGTATATTCCATAGTGTACATGCCAACAACATTTGATTCCACGCTTTTAGGTTCCGAAGGCCTAAGCCTTCCTCCGAACGTGGAAGGGTGACGGTATGCCAAGCCACCGGCGTAATCTTTAACCCACAAAGGAAGTGTCAGCATCGTTGGATGATGAGCGTACAAACGGTCGAAGGGAGAGGGAAGATAGATATCCAAAAGCATTCCACCCCTTGGAGGACCGATTTAATGAGCTCCACTCGTCCCGCATATGAGAGAGAGGAAGCGTTCCACCCATTGATATACCCCAAAATTTGATTAATGAGCGCATCAAATTGCCCAACCGTGACTCTTTCCGTCGTGAGAGGGATACCGAGGTACCGGAAAGGCATAGACCCCGGACGGAGGTTAGTGTCTTGAAGAATCTCCGAATGCTCCAAATGGCCAACCCCCGCCATGTATATGTTGGACTTATAGACATTCATTTCAAAACCCGATTTAGTCCCAAAGTCTCTCAAGCATTCCATTAGGATTTAGATAGAACAAGGGTCCCCCCGCGAGAGAAGCATTAGGTCATCCGCAAAGGCTAGATGGGTGATTCTTAGAGACTCACATTTGGGGTGATATTTGAAATTCGATCCACTAGTCGTGCTCCGATCCATGAGCCTCGAGAGGTACTCCAAGCAAATGACAAAGAAATAAGGCGAGAGGGGGTCACCTTGTCTCAACCCCTTAGCTCCTTTGAAGTGGCCACAAAGGGATCCGTTGATTGAGATGGAGTATGAAGTCGTGGTGACGCACTCCATGATCCAATTAATAAAAGTCACCGGGAATCCAAGTCCGTGAAGAACTTGCCTCAAGAAAGCCCAAGAGATGGAGTCGAAAGCCTTGCGAATGTCAATCTTGATTGTGCACCTCGGGGAGATCCGCTTTCTCATATATTGCCGGAGTAATTGTTGCATGAGGTGAATGTTGTCGACTGCTGGATTTTCATAAGATTTACCTCGTTAGAAAACTTGTCTTACAAGCTCTCAAATGACATCCCGTTAAAAAAAGTTTGGATATCATGATTATCAAAAAAATTAAACAGAAGTTTTTATGCACACGTGCACCTACCTTCTTTGTTGCCAATATATCAATTTTCACAAATCGTTAAACTATACCTCATTTGATTTGTTTCATCACTAACTTCAAAAGTTTTAGATCAATTTAACAGATCGATTAAAAATTTATCGTTGATTAGTTAAAAGAGTTATGTCATGTTAGAATTTTTAGTAGAAAAGACAAATCATATGTTGGTATACTTTGTGAGATAAATGTTAAATAACTGTTAAGGTAAAATTCAAAAACGGCTATAATTTTAAAAAAATTCCCAAATAAAAATGTTATTATTTTGTGTCCAAATTTTCAAAACAACCACTGGTTACTTGACAAATCAGTAGCCGCTGAAATTACTCAGAGTGTGATTGGATATAAACTTGACTAGTAAAAAACCAATCAAAATTCAAATTTAACTCAACTTTAATTCGATCTCACTATCTTCAATATTATCTATATAAGTAAATAATATCAACTCATCATTCTTACACATCATATCAACTTTAATTCACTATTCATTCACTCACATAATTTTAACTAACCTACAATTCCAATCATTTTTCTCCTATTACATCAAATTAATTTTAATTATTTTATTTTAAATATTATTTTAATATAACCTTAAATCTATACTTATATAAAAAGGGATCATATTTACTACAAATAGTATCCAGAAAAGTCAACTGCAATTAATGTTATTACTATTTCCAGCATGTATTTTATTTAATTATTTTATATTGAAATTAATGTTATGCGATTCAATTAATGCTATTACTATTACCATACAATGGATTTTCCTGTGAAAAAATCCCACAAAATCGGTTTTAATTTTTTGTATATTTGAAATTTCCTTCTTATCTTCTATTTGCTTTATCCCATACAATCCGTTTAGTCAACAAAATCCCATAAAATCGTTTTAAACTTTTTATAGATTGAAATTGAAATTTCTTTCTTATCTTTTTACCAAAAAATTTATTATTTATGTATTGAAATTCTGTAATCCGATTTCAGATTGTATCATTAAGAATACATTATAGTTATATTATTAAATCATAAAAAGATACTAAATCCATATTGTAAAAAAAATAATTCATATAATTTTATAACAATTCTACTACACTATTTAACAGTATTCTTTTTTATTATATAATAAAATAATAATTAAATATTATATAGCGAACAACAATATGTAAAACTGTTATTTTCTCTTATATCAAGGGATAAATTTATATGTTAAAACTAAATTTTTATTAATATAAATGTTTTAGTGAGATAATATATTAATTATTTTACAAACTAGCCCTAACATGCTCATATTTAATGTTTTGGCTAAAAAAATAACGTTGGTTAAAAGATGTGGAAAAAAACTTATAATAACCTTACTACTTTTTAGACTTAACGTTGATTAAAAGAGGTAGAAAATAGATAATAACCCTATTACTTTTTAAACTTAAACAGAAAAGGGTGTGAAAATAACTCATTTAATATCTCTGTCCAGTTTCCCTTAATAACTAATCATATCACCTTCTTCAAAATTAATTACGATTAACAAAAAAAAAAATTAATAAAAACAAATCCAATCACACTCCCAACCACGGCCTTGCTGTCACAGGCGACATATAAAATAAAATAATATCCTTTTTTTCTTTTTTCTTATTTCTTTTTTCTTTTTTCTTTTTGACAGTCCTTCGTTCTATCTTCTTCTTCTTTTAAGCCCGCAATTATTAAAATATCAACAGATAAATAGATGGTCTACGATCTACAGCCATAGTGGGTGAAAAAGGAGAAATTCACTTAAAATTTTCTAACCCGGTGAATAAAAGGACGATATAATAGATTCGGTGGTCGCTGAATATTTTGATCTCTCTAGGTTATTTTTTTCCTGTTGTTGTATTGCGAAATATCAAATATTGTTGCAGCTAATAGGTAGGAGAAAAGATTAGGATTTTGTTGTTTGGTCGGGTTTAGGTCTCGATTTCAATCCATCCATGGAGGTTGCGATGAGAAAATGCGTATGCGTATTGTTGCTGATGTGTGTATTTATGGAATCCGCGATGTCGGCCGGATTTGCCTCATCCTCCATTTGTGGAGTCGATTACAAACCTTTTCTTCACAATCTCAATTCTCGTTGCCCGTTTGCAGACCCCTTCTCTTCTTCTCCTATCGAGGTATTTAATTATTTTTCTTGTGACCTTGTTTTTATTCGAGTTGTGTAATTTATTGTTCAAGTTCGTATCTTGATCTTCTGTATCAATCATTTTTATTGCTTTCTCGTTTTTCTTGAAGTTGGTTATTATATATATTTTCATCGTAGATACGCTCCGTGTTATCAATCTTGTTGGGCTGCTGAACGCATTGTTGATTGTTGAGTTCTCATTTGTGGTACTGTTTTTCAGAATTGTTTGTTATTAGGAAAGACCAGTGGATAAGTTCTATCTTGAAATGGTTATACAGCTCAAAAGCTAGTAACTATGTTTTTTTATCTGTTACTTTCTTGCATTTTGTTGAATGGGGCTTTTCTGCTGGATGGGTCATGGGGGAAGAGTCTGGTTTGTTTATGTTTACTGCTTCTACTATAACATGGTTAGTTGGGAATGGGCAAATTTTCCATTGAAAAGATTAACTTTTTGTTATGAAGATGTGATGTTAGAATGATTGTTCTAGGTATTCAGTAAGTATAGTTAAAGACCTGAAAGTGATCTATTTTTTTAGGTTTTTCATCCATATTGTAGTGGCGTAAACAGTTGGATACTCAAGCAACCAGAATATGAACCATAAAAGAAAATACCTATTAAATCGATCACAAGAATACCTTATGCAAGCCAAAGTCTCTTTACTTTAGTTGATAGATGTTCCTTCTCGACTATGAGGCACAAAAGTTTCCTCCAAGACTGTTCAATTCTTCACATGCCTGATGTGATGAAAGACTTGGACACTTTCTTGTGATTCCTTGAGTAATATGTAACATGAAATCATTTCCAATTGTGGGCTAATACTGGAATTATAAAATTGTTACCTTTAAGAATGTGATTGCGATGTTGCTAAAGGATGAGATGGGTAGTTGGATGTCATTTAAGGATCCATGTCGATGAATTACTTGAATGTAATGTTTCTAGAGTTGAAAAGCTGTTTTTATATTGAAAGTTCATAAGGTGGTTGTATGTGTACATTTATGCATCTCTTTAGAAAAATGGTATTTTATCAGTGAAGTTTTATTCATTGTTCATTCTATTTTATCTGACACTGATGAGATCTTCGTTTAGCTAATTACCTATCCTTACTGCCAAATCTTCATATGTTACTGTTACTTCATGTTGGCTTTGGTTAGAGGCTTAGAGCTGTAGTGAATGAGAAGTTACCAATAATGAACGATTAAATTAGATGCTATCATGAATTTTATTATATGTGAGAGGTAGTATCACACACCAATACACCATAAACTGTGGATATGAGTTTTTTTTATCAATGGAGAATGCATTAGCGGACGAGTAACTTTATATTTGTGCATAAAGACAATTGTCATTGAGAAATTCTTGCATTAAGTTGTTGCAGAAGTTTAATTTCAGATATATTGTATGGGAACTAAAGTATTAATTTGATGACTTGGAAGTACTTTTATGCCTTATTTGATACATCATCAAATCCTATTGACTGCCCCGTTTTGGTTTGTTTGTGGAAAAAAAAGTAACTTTATATTTGCTTAATCAAATTATTAAATGGCAAGTGTCAAATTTTAAGTTATTATTCATGTGCTGATTTTATCAAAGAGTTCGGAAGGTTAATAGTTTGATATGGTCTGATAGATGACTGCACCTAGACTACGGGGTCTATTAAATGAACACAAGTAAATTAGTAATAATTACATGGGTGAAAGCGACATACTGTTGCAGAAGTGAGTTGACTTTATTGTCCAGTCTGGTGGCGATATCTGATTCAACACCTTCTGCGGCTGGTGTTTCAGAATTAATAAACTGCGAACTTTTTTACGCATGAATTAATTTATGTAGCAAAAACTTTCGAACACCAATTTATTCGTTTAGGGAGTGATGCTCCAATAGATCATTACACCAGGAATTTTAAGTTCTATGTTTCATTAGATTTTGTGCCCAGCTGGCTGACGGACATTGCCAAACTAGGCATGTCTTCACTTCCAGAACAACTTCATGGGTGTTTTCCTCTAGCTGAAGCTCATAGCTTTTCCCTTTTTAGTAGTGTGTATTCCTTGGGCATAGATCAATCACTTTTATCCTTTCTTAATGGTACTTTGTTGTGTTGTTGCTGAAGACATTTGACTCGTCAATATTATATGTCTATTTCTCTGTAGTTGCTCAACTATGATGTGAAGTATGAGCGAGGCAACGAAACATAATAAGAAATAGTATATTGATATTGGATAATTTATTGTTTAGGCCTAATTTCCGGTAATATCTCGACCTTACACTCTTTGGAAATTTTAACCAAACTTTTGGATATTAGCCAAAAAATAAAAATAAAAATAAATATAACAATGACCCGAACCCAAACCCTGTCGGTGGCGACAATTTTGTCAGTGTCTCCGGCATTGGCTCCTACGTGACTCCATTTCTAGCTGACATGGTATATATTATATGACGTGTTAAAACCCGCCCTAAAACACTTGGACTTCCAATTTTGACAAAACCCTACAATCCTTGAAATTCCCAAATTATTTTGTATCTTTGAAAATCCCCTTTGAAAGCTTTTCCGATATCTTTTTTAGGGTTCCTTTAAGTTTTTCAGCCGCCGCCGGTTGCTGGCCACCGTGTCCATTTTTCAGTTTTAGCCTTTAGTTCTAGCAGTTTTTCCTTTTCAGCAGTCAGCCAAAATAAACTGACTTTGGTTAAAATTGACTAAAAGTGTAAGGTCGCGATATTACGGGCAATTAGGCCTATTTTTTATGATCTTGGTTGTGAGTAGATTATTAACTCTATATGTTACATGGCAACATATTTTCATATTTCAAGTTTATGTTAATCTTATGGTGGATATTACTATTGATATTATATCGAAAAAAATGCGAACATTGACTTAAAAAATTTTCATTAGTATTTGGACTTGAGGAAGTTTCTCTTTTTCATGTTTCTTAATCTTTCACTGGTTAATCAATATGCAAGGTGGATGATGAATCATTGGAGAGAGTGATGAGCTCCAGCCTGAAGAATGAGTACACTGCTGTTTTGTTTTATGTTTCCTGGTGCCCTTTCTCAAGCATCTTTCAGTCAAAGTTTTCTATTCTGAGTTCAGTGTATCCGCAGATCAAACATGTAATGGTTGACCAGTCTTCAGCCATGCCAAGGTAGCAATCTTAATTTATATTCTACTGCTGTATTTTTCATTGACTCCAATCCCTGGTGAGCTGCTTTCTCTGCTCTTTAATTTATTTCATGCAGAAAATTGAATGTCAGGTGTGTGCCTGACTGGATTTTATTCCTTTAAAATGGTGTAAAAATAAAACATAATTAAACAATGTTTCCCTTATTATATATGTATGATAATGTGTATGGTTCCTTGCGTTTACTCAGAAACATACACAACTTTGTGCAAGGTTTTATAACTTCAAAACATTTAATTGGTAGTAATATTATAACTCTGTGTTGTGTGTGCAGTGTTTTTTCTAGATATGGGATTCACAGCGTGCCTACCCTGCTGATAGTGAATCAGACAACGCGAATGAGATATCATGGTCACAAAAATCTCCAGTCACTTAAAGATTTCTATAAAAGATCAACAGGTAGCACCCAAGATAGAT